CACACACATACACACACACACACATACACACACACACACACACACACACACACACACAGAGACACACACACACACTCTCACACACACAGAGACACACACACACACTCTCACACACACACATTCAGACATTCATAAACGTGACTGAAGTGAACATTTTTGGTGTCACTATTCATACAGTGTTATAATTAGCAAGTATTGTACCTTCGTGCATTAACGCGTTTGTCAGTTATTCTTTATAATATCTCATTCTTGCTAATTTAGTGTTCACCAGTTCAGCAGCTCAGTTATGACTGATATATGTTGTAAGCAGTGTTGGGGAAAGTTACTTTTAAAAGTAATGTGTTACAATATTCCATTACTCCATAAAAAGAACTAATTGCATTGCGTAGTTACATTTTACGGAAAGTAATGAATTATGTTACTTTTGTGTTACGTTTTGTCAGCTGGGCTGGGCTTACTTGTTTTTTAATAACAACGAAACAAATCATATTTGTGGCAACTGTAAAAGTGAAATGAATAATCGTCAGTCTGAAGAAAGAGTCTCGCTCCTGATTTCTCTCAACACCAGACACGAGAGCCGTCAGTCAATACATGGGAAACAAAGTAACTTGCTTTACTTATTTGAAAAAGTAAATTTAAAAGTAATGCATTACTTTACTAGTTATTTGAAAAAAGTTATCTGATAACGTAACTTGTAATGCGTTACCCTCAACACTGTTTATAAGTAATGGTTATAATGACCAGTTATTGTTATAGGCATAGAAATAATCTGAACCTGGTTCATGTATATTAATTATGTTATGTTAAGGGTTAGGCGCTACAGCAGCGGTCAGGCAAAACAAAGCTCTCTAAATATAGTGATTATTCCCCAAACTTCAAACGAGTTGTTCTGAAGGCAGCCGTTCACAGCATGATAGGATCAGATGATCAGAATTATAATCCCCGATCACCTGTGCTCTCGTCATCAATCCCGGCAGGCTTTATCAGCTCCATAAACTCAGCGTGATGTCAGAGTCTCGTAGAGAAGCTTCGCAGTTGTTCGCTGTGTCTTTGTTTCGTCTGTCTTTGTCACTTTCTCTCGCGGCTTGCGCATGAGCTGCATGAAGTGTCGTCTGTTTTAATGGAATGTTTCAGGGTTTTTTAGGAAAAGTCTGTTTGTCATCAGAGAGTGGCCTATTTTCATTCTGTCAGCGTGATGAAGCGCTCGAGCCGTTTCCGCTCCTGGAAAACTGTTGAAAGGCGAGTCGACTGTGGGACAGATTGTGAGTGACATGCGGCGCATGACAGCCTCCTCTGGAGGAGGAGAAGAAAGAGCGAGCCAAACCTCTTCTGCGCTTCTGAAGAACGTGTCACTGATGCAGCGATCTGATTCAGGGGCCGCAGTCTCTGTAGAGTCCCCGTGTTTCATCGACACACTGCAAAAAAATGCTTTTCTTACTCAGTATGTTTGTCTTGTTTTCTAGTATAAACATCTAAACATTCTTGAATCAAGATGCATTTACTGGACAGGTGAAATGACTTAAGATATTAAGTCTTGTTTAAAAAAAAAAAAAAGATCAAAAGTTTGTTTTGGCTTAATACCAGCAAAAATATCTGCCTTTGGTGCAAGAAAAATAATCTTGATTAGCCTTTGAATTAAGATTATTTTTATTACCCCAAAATATGATCATTTTTTAAAAAACAAGACTTAAAATCTTAAGTCATTTCACCTGTCAAGTAAATGCATCTTGATTCAAGAATCAGATTTATACCAGAAAACAAGACAAAAATACTAAGTACACTGCAAAAAAAAATTGTCTTGTTTCCAGCCCAGATATCTAAAAATTCTTAAATCAAGAAGGATTTTCTTTTTTTTTTCTCAGTTTTTTCTTTTGATTTTGATCTCTGTAGCTTTTTATCTAACCTTTTATTGTAAAGCACTTTGGATCAATGATGGTTGTGTTAAAGTTGTGCTCTATAAATAAAGTTTGACATGACTTGACTTGAAGTAAAAAATTATTGTCTTGTTTTCAGAAAAAACTAAATTAGGTGCTTTTTTGCTTGAAACAAGCAAAATAATCTGCCTTTGGTGTGAGCAAAACAACCTTGTTCTCTGTTAGAAATAAGATTATTTAGCTTGTTCTAAGCAAAAACACTTAATTTTGATTCATTTTTTCTGAAATCAAGACAATAATGTTTATTTGTCTATTTGTAGATATCTTGGCTGGAAACTAGACAAAAGATCTACGTAATAAAAGCATTTTTCGCAGTGCACAAGCGATGACGGAGTGATGGTTTCATGTGGTGCTGTGTTTGTGTGCTAGCACTGTAAGTCAATACGCTGTGGCTCTGCTTCTTCTTTCAGCGAGAGGAAAGATTGCGTTTAGATAATTCATTGTAATGGGCTCGACTAACAATGGCAAATCCAATTCAGCAGTCCCCATTGTTGCATAGATCAAATGTGCTGTTACCACCCAAGGTTATTGTTCCCGTCTCGCTGGAAGCCGAAGCTTTTAAGAGCCGCAAAGTGATTTTTGCACAATCGTAGTAGGTCATTTAAATTCAGATATTCACCCTGTTAGGCAGAACAGACTGGTTTAGTCACAATCATCGTTAACCCATGATAAGTCATAATATTACCATTGAATGCACATGTTGGGCTCTTCTTGTGCATGATGCACCTGAGTGTTTTCTTTGAAAGTTTGCATGTTGCTGGTGTGGCATGGTTATGAGTGCATGCACTAACCCGCATTAACAAGCTCTGATTAACTGCATCTAATGACTGTGAAGATTTAGCCATTATGTTTAATCTTAAACCTGAGTGTGTCCAATTCTGGGTGTCCTTTGGTCAATGCTCACCTGCAATTCAATTCACTTTTACAGTTGCACATTTTATTGTAAAGAAACATTTCATGTGCTACTGGAATCTGTTCGTTTCGTCTCTGTCAGAGATTGGTTTGATCAAATGCGTTTAGCTCTAAATCACTAGCTGATGCAGTTGTAGCTTTATTCAGGTGGATTTTTTCCTCTTTGCTGAAGTCGTAGATTTCAGAACTTGATCCTGTGTGCTGAATCCCCATAAGCCTCGGCATCCGAGAAAGCTTTGCTCAGACGTTATCTCTAAAGCAGAAGAAACAAGAACCTGGGCTTCAGACGCATCTTAACGTGGCTTATGTTCTGTCTGCGCTTCTAGTGATGTGAATGAAACGGCTCATTGAATTAGTCAACATTACAGCTACAGCAAATGAGCTCCTGATTGAACTGCTGGGCTTCTTTAATCGTTATTTCATTGTTATATTAAATGTAACTCACATTTTTCTTGTTTTATGACCGCACAGTCTCATGCAATGCACAGCTGATGGTGAATAATGAGATTCACTCGTGCTCTTTGTTAAAGGGATAGTTCACCCAGAAATGATCTTTCTGTCTCAAACATGTATGACATTCTTTCGTCTGTGGAGCACAAAAAAACAAAACACTGAGACATTTCTCAAAATAATATCTTTATGACAGTCAGTGCTCCAGAGATGAACAATGCTTTAACACCTTAGCAACCACGCAGAAGAACCTAGCAACACATTCAACACCTCAGATTCTGCATGGAACCACCCTAGCAACCACTCAGTGCCCTAGTAACCACGCAGTGTCACAGTGGCAACCATCGACCCGCACACATCTCGTTTACATCAGCGATCGATTGAAACTTCAGCGTCTCCGGTTTCTGAGTGTTTCCTGTTGCCCTGGTTCTTTGTTTCTGTCCGGCTCATCTCTCTCTCTCTCTCTCTCTCTCTCTCTCTCTCTCTCTCTCTCTCTCTCTCTCTCTCTCTCTCTCTCTCTCTCTCTCTCTCTCTCTCTCTCTCTCTCTCTCTCTCTCTCTCTCTCTCTCTCTCTCTCTCTCTCTCTCTCTCTCTCTCTCTCTCTCTCTCTCTCTCTCTCTCTCTCTCTCTCTCTCTCTCTCTCTCTCTCTCTCTCT